GACGGCGCCGGCGCCGCCGCCGGCGCCGCCGCCGTAGCGGCCCCTGGAAGACATGCCGGCGGCGGCCATGAACGCCGGCAAGCGGCTGACACCTCCTAGGGAGGGTGCGAGCTGGGAAATCATGGAGGGTTGTCGGCCGGCAATGGAGGGATATGTGTATTGGCGAGAGTAGCCCAAGTCCGTGGGGGCGGGAGAGGGAATGCCGATATACGGGCCGATGCTGCCGTTGGGGTCGTGCGACGCCGGCAGCGGCGGCAGCGGCGACTGTGGGTGCTTGTAGCCGGTAGCGGCGCCGGTGAAGGCGGTGCTGAGGCTTCCGGACTTTGTACGGAAGAGGGCGTGGGCGAGAGATGAAGGAACGGACGCGCACGGGCGGGGATGGCTGGGTTGGAGGATGAGCGCATTGGGCTGTGGTTGCTGCTGGTACTGAAGAAGCAGCGCCGGTTGAGCGGTGGTTGTTTCCGTTCCTAAAGATGAGGTGGTGGACCGAAGGTGATCGTCGTCGCGATCGTGATCGCGATTATGGCGACGATGATGATTGCAGAAATTTCGTTTTGCGTTGGAGCGAGCGGACGGGCGCAAGCAGGAGGTGACCAACGCATGCCAGCCACATCGCGCGCTGCTCGACACGTTGACAGACGTGGCCTTTTCGTCGAGGCAAGGGACTTCGAGGAAGAATGGTACGATGCGGACGTAAAGCATATCTTGCCGTGTTGTGCGCGTGCTTTCGCGGCTGTTCAACGTGCACTCCATGGAATGGGCCACAACCTCGGCGCCCTTTGCCATTCCATCAAGCAAGTCACGTACGCGGTGGCGTAGATGAGGATTAACTTCCAGTAGAAAGCGCAGGAGGTCGCGCTCATCCTGTAATTTTCTGTCCCCTGCAAGGCGAAGCATCGCGGCATTGCACCACGCCAGCACCACCTCGGCGCCACCAGAGCGGCCCATTGGATTCCGGTCCATGGAAGCGACCATGACAGGAACGGGCGATCTGTCCCATTGCTGGCGTAACAGGCGCTTGCTGGTGAGCATGTCCTAAGCTGCTCGCCGCGGCTGCGCTACAAATATTTCAGACCCTTTACCTAACTTATGCATTCAAACAATAATGTTTATGCTACTCTGGGAAGTCTTGTCAAGCCCAAATGTTAACCCCTTACTAAAATGTTAAGGGCCTGGGGTAACTTGACAGTTGCGTCATCAGCAAGGATTATCTCCTAAGTAATGAGATTATACAATCGTGACTCAAGCCCTTACAGTACCTTGCTGACGTAAGGAGGGAAATCAGTACATAACTTGGCACGCGTGCGTACAGTCGCTTTTCGCTTGCGTTTTGTGCGTAACTCTAGTCGCCTTATGTAAGGGGATTAATTTTAATCCATAATCAGCAAGATCATTTAAGTTATCTGGACATAGTTCTAGTTACAAGAATCCCAAAGGGTATGGTTTGGTCGTGGTTTGGACGACATACATATCCTATGACTATTTGAAAAAAATAATGTTTCATTTTTTCCAGTTGTAAAGGATGAAGCTAGGACCCCGTCAGGTGGGATCACTAAAGCGGCAAAATCGATATCTTAGAAGATTGTCGACATGGTTGTTTAGCCATGTCACATGCTCGGCACACATTTATGCATGCACTGCATAACTGCTACTTGCAGTATGCTTCCTGCCACTGGGTTTGCTCAAGGGCTTGGTTTGTAAGAAGCTATTTGGGCATAGACCGCAATGCACCGTAACGCACTTCGTTTGGGGTGGACTGAGGGTTTGAAGATTAGAAAATGCTTGATCTTTAAGGTAACTAACCAAATCCACAACGTGGATGCATCGGCAGGAAGGGCTGTATCGACTTGGGTTGAACGGGAAGGTGTTGTATAGTACCAGCTCCTCTTACCCAAGCGCGTATGCCAACAATCAAACTATTACCTTCAAGTAAAATTCGGCTATTTTGCAAAAATTATTATTATCGATCAGGGAAGTGGTGCCCGTATTGTGCGTGACCAACGTTGCATTTCCGTTACTTACGGAGAGCAGCAAATTCCCCTTGCAGCTAACGATGAGACTGACGCAATTTCTTAAACTCACCTGCGCAGCTTCCACCTCGTACTCATGAGCCCCAGTTAATGTAAACACCGATGCATATATGTATGCGCTTTAGGCCTTGCGGCGGGCCTCACTACACGAAGCACACGCGCCAAACAAGTTACGAAGGAGGGTCTCCTCCAGCTGGAGGGACTTACACTCGACAGACCTTACAAGTTACAATAAGCGCGCTCTAATTTAAAACTGACCGCCCGCGCGGAACTGGCATCAAAACGGGGACTAAATTGTTCAATTGGAAGCCAATTGGTCAAACGCTGTGAATGCGCAAATCCAGAGGATTGAATTCAATAAACCAAAATCAATGTCACCGTCACGAGCAAACTTTATAGAAAGACGATGAACATGTCGCTTTGTAATACATAATATTTGGGTCTGCTGCCTTCCCAAACGCCGCACCGATGGGTCAGCTAGGGATCCGGAACACCCACCCGCACGCAGAGACGACCTGGCACGCCGGGCAGTAACTGCTTCGCCCTAATATAACCGGTGTCGAGGTCTCAGCTGAGGTTAGGTTAGGTGGGTGATTGGGGGTTGGGGGGGGCAGTGGGGGATAATGGGGGTTAGGGGGGGGGGGGGAAAGATGCGCGGCGCCTGCAACGTTCGGCATCTTCATTGTACGGCACCATCATCAGTAGGGTTGGATCTCATGTCAAGTTGAGACTTAAAGTTAGAAATCTTGTTGAGAATCCTATTTAGAAATTAGATGGTCTGTTTAGGGGCATTAGATGACGGTTAGACCGTTATCTAATGTACGGCATTAGAAAACTTGTAGAAAACTTAGATGTCTCGCCGAAAACTTTTGCCCAGCTGGAAGCATCTTGCGCGCGACCTCTCAAACCTTGAGTTTTACAAGTTACAAGACCACAAGTCGCGCAACCGGCTGGGCCAGGAGCCCGCGGAGAAGCAAATTATAATCTACATACGCCAGAATGGCAGCAGTATGGGCAAGAAGAGCGATCAGTGTACGATCACAACGTACGTACGTTCATCCATGACTGCATCGATCCCTGAACCGAAGGATGCCGCGTAAAAAGGCGAGACAGCGAAGCAGGCAGACAGGGTCGAGGGTC